GCCAACCCCAAAATCTATTCCTTCAGGACTTCAATTCCTGCATGTTAATCACAGGATGGTCTCTGCTACCCCTCACCTGCACCGTCTTCCTTACAGTATTGCCTTACCAGGGAAGTGGGTGACCCAAACTCTTGGGTTCACGACATAGTCTTAATGGGTGCGTAATCATAGAGATCTCAAAAGATTAATTTTTAACATTCTTTTACTCACACCTATCTCTACTGGAGCTGGTTTGCACAGAAACGACAGTAATAATTGCTTGCGGGGTTAGATCTCTATATAATAAAACCAGGGAAAAGCACCAAACTTAATTTTGAGTCACCACTTCTGCCTTTTAACAATCACTCTGCGCCAACTCCCCCTCTGTACAATCCTGGCACAGCTTGTTCTTGCCCTGGGAGGCTGGCGGGCACTTCAGTTCTGACCTTGAAAGCTTTTTGCATGGACTGAGCCTTGTGCTAGTACAGAAGCTGGTGATTTAAAAGATGATCTGGAAGGTCTGCAACAGCCCACAGGAAACAGAAGGGCCTGTTTCACATGAACTTATTAAAGGGTTTGATTCCAGGCTGAAGAAGAAAGATGTGAGGTGTGGCCTCACAAGCTATCTGCTTCAGGCTCCAGTGGTTATTAATTTGCACTGCACTAACATTCATTCTTTGTTTACTTTCTCAGTGAAGTTCCAGCCACAGCCCAACCACGGGAGTACTCCTGAAATGTGCCTTTAAAAATTAAACACAATTTAAAGGAATTCAAAACATGATATTCTAAGATTACAAAGCTTCTCCCAAGATTACTGTTCTCCTGTATATAACAATAATTAAAATATTAAATACTTTAGAATATTTTTCTTACTTTTCTCAGCACTCCTCCTTACTTTGAACTTGCCCAGATATCATTTTTTCTTTTTCCATTCTTTGTTTCTTTCTCCTGGGGCTGTTTTCGGTTCTAAAGTTAGTTCAAAAGTTCTAACTTCCATTAAAAGTACTTTTTCTTCTCCTCTGAAGGATGAGGGTGTCATTAGGGAGCAGCTAAAAATGATTTCAGCAGCTGTCCTGACACTGGAATTGCTACAGAAGCAACTCCCAGAAAACATACATCTTAAAGGTATGTGATGCTCAGGAAGTCATCCATACAGCCATTAAAAGAATCAGCTTTACTTGGAAAAGGATTTTACAAAAGCCAACTGAGACCTCCATAGAGTGTTGTAATGTTAAAACAGAGTTGGCTGCTTGAGTTCCTTTTGGCTGAAGCAATTGTTGCACCTTTGGTTGTGTTTAATTGAACCTGTTATTAACAAGCATGAACCATGAAACTGGATTTACGTTTAATCTCAATTGTGCAGAATAATTTCTCTACGTCCCCCTGAGCATAAAGTCAATATTTGTCAGTCTTAAAGCCAAACAGGCCTCTCAGCTGAACAGTGCATGAAATTTGGCAACATTTAGTGTCAGCCTGTTCCAGCTGTTCTGCCCTTTCCCACCTGCTGCTTCAGTTCTCTTCATTTTTATGTTTTTCACCTCAAATAATCCTCAGATGTGTTTTTGTTTGGTTGTGGAGGGAGATGAAAGCAGATCAGAATACGTTTATTTTTTATCTTCCATGTGGTTGTTCCATCAAATATTTCTTGTGTGTATATATATATACACATATATGTACATTAAAGATTGTTTCCACATACTACTTTCAAATCACACAGTGGCATTGCTTTGTTTAAAGAAACCAGAACTTTGTCCAGGGAGTGCAGTAAAAAGTCTCTGTGAGATGAAAACAGATGATAACAGCTGGGAAGCAAGTCCTGCCTGGTCAACAGACTGTCCATGGCTCTGGCAGGCCAAGAGGGAAAGATCTGTTTTGATCAGGGACTGTAGTGATAGGACAAGGGGTAATGGGTTCAAACTTCAACAGTGGAAGTTCATGTTCAGCTATAAGGAAGAAATTCTTTCCTGTTAAAGTGGTGAGGCACTGGAATGGGTTGCCCAGGAAGGCTGTGAATGCTCCATCCCTGGCAGTGTTCAAGGCCAGGTTGGACAGAGCCTTGGGCGATATGGTCTAGTGTGAGGTGTCCCTGCCCATGGCAGGGGGGTTGGAACTGAATGATCTTAAGGTTCTTCCCAACCCAAACCATTCTGTGATTCTGTGATTCTGTCATTCCTAGTCTGTAGGTAACAAAACTGAGCTGGAGCTGCTTGTGTGGAATGAGTGCACCACATACAAAGGCAAAGATAAATGTCATGCTGCAAGATATGTGACACTGGCCTACTTCTGTGCTTCTCACAGGTAGCTGTAAACAGTTTGGTCACCAAGGAACGCTAAAGCCAGGTAAAGAGGTCACTTGTGTAAAAATAATTGTACAGTCTTATTTTTCTGATACCTAGTAAAACCAAACTAAAACAATGTATAAATAAATACACTGGTATTGACCCTCTTACTTGAGATTGTATGATGTGAGTTGAGCCGAGAGCCTGCTGAGGAAAACAACTTCCCATGGAGCAGTCAGCAAGCTGAACACCTATACTGACCAAACAGCACCACGCTGGTAAGAGCTAACAGACAACTTCTTCATGTCTTAAATAACACACAAGTGCTTTTTCAGATTGTCCTTGATGCCTTGTTTCTGCACACAGTGAACTGCTTTAGTACCTGTCAGGGTGTACATGTCCTCCCCTCTGTTTCTACCCATGTAATCCTGCCTTGGCCTTCACACCAGCCTTACTGTCCCCGTAGCTGGGTAGAGGAAGTCCAGGAACCTGCTCAGGTCAAAAACTGAACAGGCAACATTAACACCATCATGCATCTGCTTCAGTAGTCTTGGGCTGCAGAGTGAGTTGGTAGAGTTGGCTGATCCAGCAGAAAGCCGGCCTCAACCCTTCCTCACCCCTCTGCTTTTCCACCAGGTTAGCCAGGTGAAACAACATCTCTGGCCTCATGGTTGTGGGGTATGATGCCAGATGCAAGGGGAAGGCTGGAGGAACTGTGAGCAGGTCACAGAGTGAGACAGCAGAAACAGCACTTGTCTGCAGCACTCCACTAGAGCGGACAGGTGGGATGATAAAGTGCATCATTTGATCGGCCTAAGCTGCTTGTGACACTGCACCCGGTAGTTACATGAACACTCTAATCCAGCACTGCTAGTGCAAGAAATGACCCTGCAGTCCCCCGGTCCTGGGGCACTGCTGCTGTCCTTAATATCCCCCTCCTTACTGGCACTGCTCATCTTGCAGCCATGCACTGAACTGTAGAAGAGACCCATTCATTTTACAACAAAGCAGCATTTTTTTTATTAATTAGTTTTAACATGGATCCGTTCTCCCATTTACTTTATCAGACAAGAAGAAAGAGATTCATGCTTTGAATCCTATGGCTAGGAAAGAAAGGTAAGTGAGGTGACAAGATGAAGGAGAGTTTTGGCAGGTAGTCACCACCGTGCCAAGGGGAATGCAAGGTGTGAGGCTGGTGGCTGGACCCTGCAGTAGACCCTGTACCTTCTTGAGCAGACTTTGAACAAAGGCAAAAGAATGCTCTCTGGTACATAAACATACCTACTGGGCTTAACAACATTCAACACCAGACAGATGAAGTGACTTTAATGTTTCAGGTCTACTGCAACAGTTCTTACAAAAAAACACCTCAGACATGATCTGCTAATTATTAGTAATTGCACTAACATGTGTCCTGTTGTGGCATGTTTTGCATTAGGCAGATCTATGTCCAGCATTGTTTTTTTTTGTCAGACATGCTATAATGATTGTGTCAGCACTTCACCACCAAAACACCGTTTTTGGTGGTTGAATTTACACACATCTCTATGGCCTATTTTTCCATTCTGAACAGTGAAGAAATGAAGATTAATTGCCAGAGAGTGTGAACTAGGTAAGCAGAGCATGTTTCCTCAGTGGAGGTGGTTGGAGCAGGCTAGATTCCTCCCATATTACAAGGGAGAGATGTTCATGGCTCCTGAAGGTACCCATCACATTTTGCTTGCAGGAGTCTGTTTTTCTACTGAGTGTATGGGTAATTTGGGTGCTAGAGGTAAATATAAAAGAGAAGTTTAGTGATTCTGAAAGCACCAACTCTTCATGTGACCTGAGGCAGACACTATTCAAGTTTCCAAAAAAAAGTGTAAAACAGCAGTATTAAAATGATATAGAAATGATAGTAAAAACATACAGAAGGGGAAAGGTAGCTAATAGGAGAAGTGAACTTTACAGTTGTTGCTTTATTTGCAGTGCCTAACACACTGTGGGGTTATACTACCCACAGAGCTCCTCAAGGGCTTCAGAAGATCTAAGGGAATGATTTATAAAGATCTAATCAGGCCTCCTATATGCATTGTATACAATATATCCGCACACTTCCTGAATCAGGTATACAACTCCTCATTAGACTGGAACTTAATATCCCGAAGATATTCGACTGACTTGGATACCTTCAGTTCTGACAGGTGTCTCTGACCCTCACCAACGCAGTTCGCAACGCTTGACTATCGCTGGGTATCTGCACGTCTGGATCGATCTCGACCGGCTCTGAGCTTCCAACGATTAGATACCGCCACCTCTCTGTGTTAAAGAACGCTTCCTTGGCAACTACTTGATTTCTGCTCCTATCTCTCAGTCTGCTGTAAGATAAACTTCCCGGACGGCTCGCTGCTTCTTTCTGGAGGGATCCGGCTCCACAAGAAGCCCGTATGTCGGGAAGTGTCAGTCGTGCGGGACTATCATGACCCATGAAGCACAGCACCGACCTCCGTGGCCCGCTCCTTCGCCCGCCGCCACCACCGTCCCCCTCACACTCCTCCCACCCACCTGCCTCCACCAATAGCAGAGCCCCTTAGTCGCTGAGCGTACGCCTTCCAATGGCCAGCGCGGTTGTTGGCCTGCAGGCTTGGGAAGCCGCACCCTGTGTGTGGGGGGGGGCCGCTCGGTGGCGACGGTGGGGGAGGAGGAAGAGGAGGGAGCGCGGCGGGGCGGAGCGCAGACAGCGACAGCCTCGGCAGGGGCACCGGGTGCGGCGGCCCCTTTTCCTGCTGCTGCCCTTTCTCTTCTGCCCTCTGGTGAGTGCTCCTGGCGGAGGCGGGAGGCGCAGGAGGGGCGCAGCCGGTAGCGGTCGAGGGGAAGCAGAGGGGCACAGCCATTAACGATCTGCGGGAGGCGGGTGGGTGCAGCCGTGGGTGGCGGGCAGGCTGTGAGGAGAGGCGGGCTCTGCGGAGGGGAGGCGGGGGTGCCGAGGCTGGAACCAGCTTGTTTAGCCCGGGGCGGGGAGGGGAGCGGCGGGGGGTGTCTCTGCCTGGAAAACAACCAGCGCTCGGGTGTGTGTGGGGGGTGTGTGTGGAAAACCCAGCAGCCTGCCGCTCGCACGGTGCCTGCAGTGAGCGGCTGGTAAGGGCGATGTCGGCACTGTGGGGTGGTGGGGGGCACAACGAGGGAGTCCCCAGCTACTGAGCTGGACGGGGCGGCGGGGTCGGAGGGGCAGGTTCCTGTCAGCATTCCCTCAGGGGCTACGGGCCCTGCCGCGGTGAGCGCGGTGCGATGCTCCCACTGCTCCCGCCGCCGCAGGAAGCGGCCGCTCGGCGTTTAAATCTTCATTGCACCCAAGCGGTGCGTCTGCGGGCCTTTGCCCACCGCCCTGCTGCTTCACCTGCCCCTTCCTCTAGGCTGCGAGGTGACGACCTGATTACGGTTAGCGAAATGCGGGCATTAGAGCGTCCAAATAATCGCCCGCAGAGGACGCAGGAATGAAGGAGGCGATGCGGTGCGTTTGTGCGGTGTTACTGATTGGCAGAGTACCAGCAGCAGCGAACGGGCAGCTGTTTTGTTTCTTCTGCTGGAAGGAGTATCTCTGTTTTAGTATTTCCAGTGCCTGCTTTTGGTTCAGAATGTTACCTGTCCTTCCGCACGTAATCCATGCTGCTTTTAAGGTTGATTCTTAATCTACATTGTCTTTAGTTAAAACTAGCAATTAGGAAGGGGGAAAATCCAGTCAAGCTGGAAAAATATACTGAGATAGGGGGCTAGGAATAGCACTGGGTTTGAATCTTTTATGAGATACTGATGTAGCTCAGTGGCATGAGCTTGTTGCTGGTTTTGTTTTATTATCTGCTTTTTGGAAAGTTGCTGTAGGTCATAACGTTATCGTATGCCAAAAGCATTCTGTTTTCTTGCTTAATGATTTATGTCTTATATGGAGCTTTACAAACCGTGTCTCTCTTCAGTTTATGACTTTTCAAACTGCAGCTACTGCTAGATAATTTCTGTATGCTTTGCTGAAAGCTACAGGTATCTTCATGCACACTGGCTGTTTACAGCTCTGGGTTTGTAACGTGACTGGATGTGTTAACAGAATACTTGGGAGTTCTTAACTGCCACAAATCTGTTGTTTTTTTTTTTTTATAGAACAAAAGAATTTGGTTTAAAAATACAAATTATTTCTAAAGTAGGCTTCCATTTTTTCTTATATTTATTTATGTAACAACTCTGTATCTCAGTAAGGAAGTACTCTTTTTAGAGCTGTTGTATAGTAAGTGAGAAAAAAAAAGCAACTATGGACTGGACTTCTGGAGCAGGTGGTAGTGGTAATTTTTTATATTCAGTAAGCAGATTTGATGTGATCATACAAAAGTATTCTTAAGTGAACATAATGATCTGTGTAGTTTGCTTCAATTACAGAGCTTAAACTTGGTGATATTCTTAGGACAGTTTTGAGGCAGCATGTTTTGCCAGTGAGTTCATTAGAGTATAGTTTGCTAATGCTGCAGAATGAAGAAGGTCATTACTGAATCAGTATTTTTCTGTAACAGATCTATTCTAGATGTCTCCAGCAGAAAATGACTCAACTTTTCTTGTTCTTTGAGATTCACTATCAATATTAAAAGTTATTTTTCTTGTATGGAAGTGGATCATTTGATGAGATTATGTGGGCAAACCCATTTGGGCACTGAGACACTTTCACAGGAGTGAGGCTCAAGCTATTTCTGCCCTATTCAAGTCCCAGGTTTTGAAGGGTAGCCTTGCAGTATGAAGTGCTTTTAGTGAAACTCCACAGTCAACGTTCTGGAGGAAAAAGCTGAACTTTGAAGTAGCCAATTTTGTTAATAAATAGAGTGAAATATTACAACCGGAGGTTTCAGACTAGGAGAAGGGTGCTTAGCATGTTGATTGCTACTAAGCATAACAACATATATGTGACAAGTGCTTTCTGACTCCTAGGAGGCCGGACAGTAAAACTTGTACCCACAGCTTTTCTGAGTTGTAGAAATAGTTTGTTTTTTAATTATTTCCAAACTGGAGCAGTGGTGGATAGTGAGTAGTTTGTAAATCCCAAACTGTTGCTATGCCAATGAGCCAGTCCTGCTTTGAGGGAAAATTTCATAGTAACAAAACTTGACCTGTACTTGTATGAAGGAAAGCGTCTCAGAGAAGTGTTGCTTCTGTTGTGGGTGGAGGACACCTGAAGCATGAGAACCTGGAGTAAAAAATAACATTGAATTTCTGATTTTGATGACTTTTAAAGTAGAATTTACTCTTGGACTCTCCTGCATGATAGAGAGCAGTCTGAAATAATTTGTATCAGTAATTCATGCTGTAACTTAATATTAGACACTTTTAGAATGATAGGTGCTTTATATTTAAAAACTGATTGTGAGCAGTGTTTAATTCAACAAATACAATTTTAAACTGATGATTCTTTTGTGCAGGTCATTTGACATCTGCTTAGGAACCTGTCTAAAACTTTTGTGTTAAATTATACATTTCCTATGTTAACACATTCAAAAGTAGGTATTTTTTTAAATAGTAGAAGTTCCTAGATTACCTAAGTTTTGCAATTTTCATTCATATAATTTAATCAGCCTTCTCAGGGGAGTAGGAAAACATTACCTACTCGTGCCACTTATCCAGCATTTCTCTTCAAAAATACTCCTTTTTGGTAGGGCAGAGAACAGTAGCTGTACAAACCTGTTGGTAAAGAAAGATGTAAAGTGTGAATCATGTAAACAAGTGAATTTCCTGAGGAAAGCTTCTTTTCATCAGAGGCAGAAGAGGACATACAGATATTTTGATCTATGATAATTTTCACTTTAATATTACCCTCCTCTCTGGTTACTTTTCTTACTGCTTTAAAGTATTGCATGTACAATGACAGGGTTCTAGAGCAGTATTTTTGAATGTTCAACATAACTTTATGATAACTTGTTACCATCTCATTAACCATCTGTTGTTTATTGAGAATAATCTTTAGTCAAACTGAAACAAATAATTGGTTTCTGCCCTACTTAGTCAGAAGACATTGTTTGCTGTGGTCCTGTCAGGTCAGAAATTTTAGTGGTTAGTCTTTGCAGAAGTTGTAAGGGCAGAGACTCTGGGAAACGCCCTTGTTGGAACTACTCCTTTTCAAATCAGGTGTAGGCTGAGGTGATGTCATTTGTCATGAAGGCTCTGGTTTAACATTCTAACCAGCAGTCATGTGAAGTATTGCTGCTGCTTTGGGGAATTTTGAGCCTAACTGTTCTTCATTTCAAGGGAAATTAAGTTTTAGTATAGGGATGTATGTGAATAATTGGTGCCAGTCAGTCAAGCTGCTGACCAGCATGTATGCTTGCTGCATTTGCTGGGTTGACTCTTTACCTGTTAAGGAGAAACTGAAAATGTTGTCCTTGAAGGTGTAGCCAAACAGGAGTAACAACTTCTGCACCTTCCTAACTTCCTTCTTTTGACCTTGCTGGGTAGATTTCATTTTGATAAATGATCCCTGCCTGCTCTTTTGGATGCAGTTATTATTCAGTGAAAGATAAACCTTGTAACCTCAGATCAGTTGTGTTACTGAGCGGGAAACCAGAAGAGTTTTATGCTATTGCTTATTTGAGTGGCTTTTCTGTAGATGAATTAAAAATCAGCGTGAAAGTACAACTGAATTCAGTTTTAAAACTAGGATATTAAGAGCTACTGTTTGAAACTGAGATCTGGAGTTTGTGTTCTTCACACTAATCAATTATTCCTTTGCATTTTCAGTTGACTAATGTATTGGGCTTTGTATTTTTAAATTATTGAGGTGGTTTGTGTTTTTTTTTAAACCATGTGCTATATATGGTTTTCAGATTTTGACTCATGAAACTGAAAAAATAGGAGTAAAATATTTCAGAGTTCTGAGATTTTCTTGTTCTTCTGTATACCTAATTGAATTGCTGAAAAGGGGTCATGGAAACAACAAGCAGTAAATACAGTTAATCAGTAACTTTTTATGGTATCTGATACTTTCACATCAAATGAGTAGTTAAATGTTGTGGTACTTTTATGCACTGAAGATTGTGAGGGGGAATCAAACTGCTACACTCACATATTTTAGGTTTTTGGTTGAAATCAGTAAACTTGTAAAAGCAACTTTGTCTTAAAACCTGTAATTTTACTTGCAGCCATTGAAAGTTTAGTTTAGGTTTGATTTCATTTTGCATGTGCAAACTTCAAAATCTTGTTGTGGTGCTTTTAATGCTTTTTATCCCTATCTTGTTTTAGATTTAGAATCTTGGGAGGTCTGATAATGCTGTTTCAGCTTTATTATACCTAATATGAGATTAAACCAGGAATTGTTTGGGATAACCTCAACCCATGAAGATTGTCTTCTGTGTTGTTTTGGTGGGAGTTTGTTAGGGGTGTTTTTTGTTTGATTTGTTGTTTCTTGGGGGTTGTGTTGTTGTTATACACTGCTGAGTGTAAAGGTACTGTTTCTGCATTGTAACTGGGGAGGTGAAGGATAAGGTATACTTTTGAGTTTAATCTTTTAACAGATGAAATAATTTCTTTAGGTATCGTCACTACTAAGTATTGCTGAAAATTTATAAAGTATGTATGCATGTGAAACATCCCTTCTTTCTAATCAGCAAATGAAGACATTGCTGCTTATGTGCATTAATAGAGAGATGCAGTATACTTGTGGGGTTTTTTTATCAAAACCAGTATCTTGTCTAACCAAGCCTTGCATAGTAATCTTGCATCAACACAGCTTAAAGTACTCTGAAGTTAAAGGGGCTTCTTTTATTTTTCTCTTCAACTTCTGAACCTGTTAGCTGCATTCAGCTAAATACACCAGGAAAAAGGTGACTTCAAACACATAAAGTTTGTGCCAGTAAAGGGATAATCTGATGGCTAGACTTGTGTCCCCAC